AGTGATTGTTGTTTAAAGCAAAAGCAGAAAGAAAGCAGGAATTGATACGGTTTTCTCAAGCAGGTAAGAGTCACTCGGGAATGAATCCCCCTAGCTCCTTAGTTAGGTTCCAATTGTATTTCCCTGGGTTGATTTACTGTTGATTAGACTGCGGAATCTCTTAAGCTGACCAAGCCCTCTCAGTCTATCTACCCGGCAGACGACTAGTCTTCACCGAAATAGAAAGCTGAAGCAGTAAGAACAGAACTCCACTACTGGAATTGGATTCCAGTACAAAGCAGTAAACTGGCTAACTCTCGTATAGCCAATTTCCTACTACCGAATGATGAGACTCTAGCAACCTAATCAGATTCTATCTATCTCAGATTGCAGCAGGAATTAGGAAAAGTTGATCAGACTTCAATTGACTCAATAAACATGCATCATTCGATTAAAATCAAACAGTAATATCATCCCAAGTCATCACAATCAATCCCTAACACATAGAACTAGGGTTCTTCATCCCCAAGTGAGAGAGGGGTTCTACTCCATAGAGAGAGAGAGAGGAAAACAAGATACAAAGCAGTCATACTCATAATTATGGGAAGAATCTGCTCTAGGATGATGATTTCCACTCCTATGACGATCTCCAAGCTTGATTTGATGAAACCCAGCTCCAAGATGGCTTCTAGGATGTGTTCTTCGTCCTTTCTCTCTCTAGGGCTCTGTTTTTGCTCAAAAAGTCCGATTTTTTCTCTTGCAGCCCGAAATTGGGTTAAAACCAGGAATTCCCGACTCACACGGGCAGGGCCACACGGCCGTGTGGCATACCGAGTTGCCCGTGTGAGTCAAAACGCTGCGTTCCAATTAGTTCGATCTTCAGGTTTCTCACACGGCCAGGGTCGCACGCCCGTGTGAGATTTCCATCTGCCCGTGTTTGCTCAAAGCGAAACTCGCACGGCCAAACCACTCCCTCACACGGCCGTGTGAACATCAGGGCAAGCCGTGTTTGCTCTCGCACAATCTCACACGGCCAAAGTGGTCACTTGCACGGCCGTGTGAGTTGTGGGTGTGCCCGTGTGGCCTCCTTTTTGACTTGCCTCGCGCCCGATCTTCGTCCAATTGACCCCAAACTCGCTCCCAAGCCTCCATTCATGTACTAGGACCTGAAATATCACAAACAAGCACAACCTAGCGTGAAATCGGCCTAAAACACGAGAAATCACATCTCAAACGGTGTAAGAGCAGGGGTGAAAACATGTGTAATTAACGGTCTATCAATATTACTATAAAGACTGTACATTCAAAGCATACCGAGCAGGCAATTGCACGGAACACGTACTTGGAGCCCTCAAATTTAAAAATTTGGACAGTGGACTAGGCTCCAAGCACACAAACAGATCTAATGCAGTCAAAAGATAAACATCCCCCCACACTTAAGATCGACATTGCCCTCAATGGAGAAGAGGGAAGGAAAAGGGGAACGATGTTACCGGTATACACGGACTGCAGGAGACTGGAAGCGGACCAGTTGGAGTGAAGCGGACTGGATAGAGAACCAGTCAAGACAAGCACAGCTAAAGGAAACCAAAGAGCTCAAATACGATATGTTAGGTCCAATGGTCAGCCCAATAATACATCATCCAAAACAAAAGAAAACAAACTAAAACCATACTGGTTTACAATCCGACTCAAAACACAAGAAAGAAAGTCAAACCGTGGTGGGGTTGCCTCCCCACAAGCAATTCTTTACCGTCTTTTAGCTAGACTCCCATGGTGGATACTCAGGGAGGTGCAGGAACAGGTGCCTCCAAGAGCGGATCCACGTCGCTCTTGAGGTACAGCTTCAGGTTGTGGCCTTGCACCCGACGGATGCGACCACCATCATCGGTCAGCTCGACCTGGGCGTCTGGCAAGATGCAGGCGAGGGAGTACCCGGACGGCCAGGGTGGTCGTGGTGCAGGAGGTGGGACCAGCTCATAGTGGTCTCCACCCTTCTTCCGAACAGGCTTAGCCACCTGCGGCTTCGGCCGCCACTCCTCCTTGAGCTTTTTGTTCGGAGGCGAGGCTGGATGGAGTGGCGGCGAAGGAATGATAGGAGGGTCCTGCAAAATGAGAGGTGCAGAAGGATACACGACAGGATCATGTACCTGATCAGAAATGGCATGCACAGGTGTGACAGCAATCATAGCACAGTGATCGAATTCAGTCACAGAAAAAGTAGCCTGTTCATTCCCAGCACGCAGGATCAGTTTACCATCATGCACATCAATAAGTGCCTTGGCGGTGGCAAGAAATGGTCTACCCAGAATCAAAGGCACATCCACATCCTCATGTATATCAAGAATAACAAAATCAACAGGATATGTGAATGCACCGACACTGACAAGCAGATCCTCTATGATTCCCCTAGGATGCACAATGGAACGATCAGCTAGCTGAATGCTCATCCTAGTAGGGCTAAGTTCACCTAGGTCTAGATTTTTATATAACTTATATGGCATGACGTTTATGCTAGCGCCTAGGTCCGCCAAGGACTTGCCTACATGCATGCTGCCAATAGTAAGAGGGATAGTAAAACTCCCTGGATCTCACTGAGCATCACTGTCGAAAGATCCCCAAGTTTCTTCTTGTCGGTGAGGAGGTCTTTCATGAACTTGGCATACTTGGGCATCTTCGACAGTGCCTCCACGAACGGTATGCTGATGTTGAGCTGCTTCAACATTGCCATAAACTTGGCAAACTCAGTCTCCAACTTGTCTTTGTGTAGGCGAGTGGGGAAGGGAAGCTGGGGCACATGCTCCTTAACCACTGGTTGTGGCTTGGGAGCAGGGGCTTCCTTCTCCACCCGCGCTTCTGCATCATCGGCTGGAAGTGCTGAAGCAGGTAATGGTTCCTCCTGCCTGGCCAGGGCAGGATCAGCAGAAATGGTCTTACCGCTCATGGTAAAAATGGCATCCAGCTGCTGATGCTGGTGAGGATCACGAGGATTCGGAATAGTGGTGGCAGGCAGAGTCCCCGGTGCCCTAGTAGTGTTTTGGCAGGCCAAGATACCCACCCGGTGCTGCAGATCTTGCAAGATGGCACCTTGGTTCCTCTGACCTGCCTCCAGTTAGGCTACGCTCTGGTCCAACCTCGTGATAGTTGCCTGAGTGCTAGTCATGAATGAGGCTAGAATATTTTCCAGCTTCGTCATCCGATCATCTGGGGCAGGAGCTGCTGCTGGCTCGGCATACTGACGCTGGGGCTGCTGGAATAGTTGCCCCTGCCGAGGCTGGTAGGGCTGCTGCTGTGGGGCTGGCCCCTGTCTAGCCTGGAAAGGCTACCTCTGCTGAAAACCACCTGCTGGTGCTGGGAAACCAGGTGGTTTAGTGGTGTTGCTGCTCCAGGCGAAATTGGGATGCTGGCGCCACCCCTCATTATATGTGTTGCTGTACGGGTCGAGGCGCCGAGCATTGGCGATGAAGTCCAACTGCTCTTGGGGAGTAGTAGACTCCCTCATAGCATGGCAATCTTCCACTAAGTGATTTGAGCTCTCACACCACTGACATTGAGCTACTGGAGGTGTAGCCAAACCTCTGCCCGGAATAAGACTTTTGGGCTGCTTCAATGCCTGCACTAGCTCAGCTACCTGCTGCTCAAGCCCGGATCTGGTCTCCATGGCGTGCACACCACGGTCCCGGGAATGTCTGCCTCTGCTACTCTGTCCCCAAGAATGATCTCTGGCAGCCAAAGTATTGATCATCTGGTTCAGCTCGGGTGGAGTCTTAGTAAGAATATCCCCTCCTGGGCATAGAGACTCAATCACCCTCTGGCTGTCTGGAGAGAGAGCACTGTAGAAGTTCCCCACTGTAAATGCATCACTGAAACCATGATGGGGACACTGGCAGAAATATCCCATGTACCGCTCCCATGCATCACGAAGTGACTCATCTGGCTCTTGGCTCCCAGAATTGAGGCCTTAACAAACAAAACCTCCACTACCGAAGTAAATCCGGTACAGAATAGTGAGTTGGCTCCTCGACTAAAGTCACCAACTCCCTACCTTCAATCAAGGTTTCTCTATCAACCTAGGCAGATATTCTCATTCTAGGTTAAAGCAGAAACAACAGGAATTTGATCAGGATTCATGCCATTCAATCATTCAAACCTCAATTGAATATAATCAAATCATAGAATCAGTACTTGGGTTCATACAATCAAACCTAACATACAAATCTAGGGTTCTCCATACCCAGATGAATGGGAGAACTACTCCATGGAGAAAGAAGCAAAAGCAAAATCAGATGCGGAATTCATACTGTGAAGGATGGATTCCTGCTCCTAGACGTTGATTGGCACTTCTCCAAGCTCAAGCCAAGCTCCAATGGTGATCAAGATCAAGCTAGGGCACTTGGAGACTCTTGTTCGTCGCTTTCTCTCTCTAGGAATCGCTCTGTCTCTCTAAAACTCGAATCCCCTTCTCTTTTGGCTGAAATCTGCTTAAAAAGGCATCACTGGGCAAAGCACGGTCGAGGGCACGGCCGTGCTTTGCTCCAGCCCGCCCGTGCTTTGGCTAGGGTTAATTACACGGCCAGCCTGTTGGGAGAAACACGGCCGTGTTTTTGGGTGGACACGGCCGTGCTTTGGTGGACACGACCGTGTAATTTCTCAGCCCTTCCCATGTTTTGGCTAGTGTTTGCCAAACTCAGATCAGCTCTCGGCAGTAAAAGCACGGTCTCAGAACACGGCCGTGTTCTGATTAAGGTGTGCCCGTGTTTTGGCTCCAGCTCAATGAAATGACTTCCGAATGTCCCGAAACTCGTGCTTAGCCTTTCTTTTGACGCCTGGGACCTGAAATATGACAAAGTAGCACAACCCGGCGTAAAATAGGCAAAAAATACACGACTATGCCCCTCAAACGGATAAGAACTAGGGGCGCAAATATGTGCAATTACATCGTTATCACAACATTACGGAAAAGGTATGCAAGCAATATTTTAAAAGAGGCCATGGCGAGGTAAAGGTGGAGCAGTGAGTAGTTAAGAATGAGAGTGGGACCTTTTATTTTCAAGGACAATATTTTGGCGGGTTGTTCTGCCATAGTTGGTTTTGGAGTAATTAACACCAGTGATGCTTACAACCCTACCAATGATGTCTGTTGTAATTGAAAGTTAGCGGAAGTAGTGGTATGAAAATGGTGAAGAAACAGATTGTGATAGTGAAGTAGTATATGCTGTGCAAAGTGCAAACGAAAAGGTTCTTGCGTACCTATGAGCTGCGAGGAGGAGATGGTTTGAGGGTGGAGAGATGCGAACGAAACAAACTCAAATGAATTAGGCATGAAGTTTGGCGAAGCATCTGTCTCGTCTGCAAAGGTAGTATTGCGGGAGAGGACGATGTGCAAACGATGAGAGCAAGGACGGTAGGAATTGCGTGGAGGCTGGAGGTCAAGACCGCCAAGGACGTAAACCCGTCCGACTTTGATTAGGTCGTTGAAGTGGTCGGTAAGTGTAGTCGGCGCCAAGCCATGGATCAGGGTGCCCTGTAAGTAGCAGAAGGAGGGAGTGTATGAGGATGCAGAAGGCAGTGTTGAGGAAACTAAAAAGGGGTAAAGTAGCAAACCATCTCGTCGCACCAAAGGGTGCAGTAGTTGAACAATTTCGTCGGGTCCGATGGCGCATAGGAAGACCAGACATGAAGCAGGCGTAACTTCAGCTGTATGGCCCTATCAGCGTCAGTGACATCCAGCAAAAGCTTGTGAGAATGAGCACTCCATCTAGGCGGCGAATCTTCTGGGGAGCAGCGGCTTCCGATGGGCTGTTTCCCTCGCGAGGGTTTGTGCGGCATGATCGGATCTGTGGCGGCAAGGACTGAGCAGTAAATTGAATCCGTGACCGGAAGAGCAAGAGTGTGCAACCCAGGATTCCTCTGCCAGTGGGAGCAAGAGATTTGGGAATTGCTTTGAGAAGGAAGGAACCTAAGGCAAATGGCACGCCTTCTTCCCAAAAGCATTGGTATGGAAGAAGGGTCTGATTGCGTGTTAGGGGTGTGGGTGCGTCTCTGATGGGTAGTGATAGGTAGAGGGAAGGAATCGAGGGTCGGGTGGCTGGTGCAATCGAGATGAGTTTTCGGGAGTCGAGAAGGTACATCTTGTGTGTGGTTTCGGATGAGCAAAGAAGGGCTAGAGGTATGGGAAGAAGGGAAGGTTTTGAGTGGTGAGAGGGATAAGACGATTGCCTGCAAGGCCGCTCTGCCGCGACTGCCGGTAAAAAAGAAAACCTAGCGGTTCTCAGACGGCGAGTGGGGTAAAAGCAGAAAAAGGGGAAAACGAATTGGAGAATGTGTCGACGTGGGCAAACGAGGGAGAAACACTCGTCAGAAGGCCAGACGCAGGATAGCGTTTGGGGTCCACTCATGAACAGTAAATTGAATCCGTGGCTTTTATATATTAATGTGCAACCCAGGATTCCTCCGGCAGTGGGAGCAAGAGATTTGGGAATTACTTTGAGAAGGAAGGAACCTAAGGCAAAGGGCACGCCTTCTCCCCAAAAGTATTGGTATGGAAGAAGGGTGTGGGTGCGTCTCTGATTGGGTAGTGATAGGAAGAGACCAGCGTGTAAAGTTATGATTTCTGTGTTCGCAGACAAAGAAACGCTGGATAATCGAATGAAAACTGGAGCGAGAGGTATAGGGAAGGAATCGAGGGTCGGGTGGCTGGTGCAATCGAGAGGAGTTTTCGGGAGTCGAGAAGATACATCTTGCGTGTGGTTTTGGATGAGCAAAGAAGGGCTAGAGGTATGGGAAGAAGGGAAAGTTTTGAGTGGTGAGAGGGAGAAGGCGATCGCCTGCAAGGCCGGTCTGCCGCGACTGCCGGTAAAAAAGAAAACCCATCGGTTCTCAGACGGCGAGTGGGGTAAAAGCAGAAAAAGGGGAAAACGAATGGGAGAATGTGTCGACGTGGGCAAACGAGGGAGAAACACTCGTCAGAAGGCCAGTCGCAGGATAGCGTTTGGGGCCCACTCATGAACAGTAAATTGAATCCGTGGCTTTTATATATTAATGTGCAACCCAGGATTCCTCCGACAGTGGGAGCAAGAGATTTGGGAATTGCTTTGAGAAGGAAGGAACGTAAGGCAAAGGGCACGCCTTCTCCCCAAAAGCATTGGTATGGAAGAAGGGTCTGATTGCGTGTTAGGGGTGTGGGTGCGTCTCTGATTGGGTAGTGATAGGAAGAGACCAGCGGGTAAAGTGGTGATTTCTGTGTTCGTTGACAAAGAAACGATGGATAATCGAATGAAAACTGGAGCAAGAGGTACAGGGAAGGAATCGAGGTCGGGTGGCTGGTGCCATTGACAGGAGTTTTCGGGAGTCGAGAAGGTATATCTTGCGTGTGGTTTCGGATGAGCAAAGAAGGGCTAGAGTTATGGGAAGAAGGAATAGTTTTGAGTGGTGAGAGGGAGAAGCCGATCGCCTGCAAGGCCGCTCTGCCGTGACTGCCGGTAAAAAAGAAAACCCAGCAGTTCTCAGATGGCGAGTGGGGTAAAAGCAGAAAAAGGGAAAACGAATGGGAGAATGTGTCGACGTGGGCAAACGAGGGAGAAACACTCGTCAGAAGGCCAGTTGCTGGATAGCGTTTGGGGCCCACTGATGAACAGTAAATTGAATCCGTGGCTTTTATATATTAATGTGATGCCACAAAAAGCAAAGGAGGTGTCCACCTCCATCAACCCACCTACACACGTCGATTTAACCAACCTCAGGTACTTTTCTTTTTACCCTCCCTTTATAAGATACTAGGTGGCGATGTCGCGCCTTGTCGCGGAGTAGAGATGGCCTATTAACATGCATTATGTGGCCCGTTATTGTGTTTTATTAGTATTATTAAGCTAAAATTAGCAGTTTTGTTAGCAGTTTTGTTAGTAATATTGACTTGACAATATGATATTGACTGAGAAGAGATATATGGCGGTCAGCTCCATTTTAATAACTTTTGAAAATTTTGGGTAGGGTACGGGTGACGGGTGACGTATATATGGGTTTGCAAGTTTGTAGATGGGTTTTGGAAGGATATGAATATTTAGTTTCATAATCTAAATATGTATTAGTTGGGTATGGATACCCATTTATTCAAGGGTGTTTTAATTACACATACAAAAATTAGACATATATGTAGAACTTCAAAAGTTTAGGTACCAAAATGTAATACACAAAAATTTGAAGTAATAAAATGTAATGTTCAATCAATATTTTGAGGACTTATATGCCAAAAAATAAATTTAGGTTATAAATTTAAAGATTTATTAAGTTTAGGTATAGAACCGTAATTTGCATAGTTGAGGCTTAATTCATTTTATGGTGATGTATTTGAGATGATAATTATTTACCTTTTTATAGAACAATGGAAACTATTTATTTGATATGTGTAGATACCTAGCCAAACATTCCATGTATAATTGTTGAAAATTCTAGCCCGGGTGAAAAGGCAAAACTCTAGAGAGAAGTAAAAGGAATACAAACTGGAACTCGTTTAAAATTTCACGCCTTCAAATCCCATAGTGGAAAATGACGACTTTCTTATAAGTAATAACCATATATATTTATTTTTAATTGGACTCGACATTGAGCTGGAAAAGTTAGTGGTTCATGGTTCAAATATTAGTTCTCTAGACTATTGGTGAGTCGTGTATGGACCCGTTCATACTTGTGATTAGAATATATAAAAATAATATACTAATTAGGGTTAGACGAAGAAGGCAAATAAAGAAAGGGTTATGGAAGGCGAGTAAAAAATGAAACGAAAAGAAAGTAGATGACGAAAAGATTTTGACCAATTCTTTTAGTTGGTCGTCAATACAACAGTCAACCGTTTCACCGTAGCAATTTATTGACACTTGGTTATGTAGATGTGGCATATTTTTGTTACATGTAGTTAATATGAGTTTGTTTAGTACCCCGTAAATGTACCAAATGGGTTTATAAATTCGCTCTTGCAATATTTTAGAGTCGTCTCTATTTTATCATTTATTTAATGTTTCACATAATGAGCAAATATAAAATGGTAGAATCTTCTCCCAGAGTTGAGTGATACAACATCTTGTATGGTACAAACTAAATTTATACTTTTGCATTATGGTGGATTGGATTCATGGATTGGTTCAAAAGGATTGATGGATTGGATTCATAGATTCAAGTGAAATCTAAACATTGGACCAATATGTAAATTTAAAAAAATTGTAGGTACGAAAATCTCATAAAATTTAGATACCAAAACATAATTGTTCAAAGATTTTACATTAAAATTAAATTTGGGGTATCAAAATGTAAAATCTACTTTATAGTGACTAAGTTGTTATTTAATTAAACTTGAGGTATAAAATGTAAATGTTTTAGGCAACAGTAATCTGACTTTCACTTTATATATATTAAAATTTTGGCATGGAATTGCCAAGGTCCAGGATACGACTATTTCATCTCTTTTTTTTTCTTTTTTCTTTTTGTAGATCAAAGAGGCCGGACCTAGTTTCTATGTTAAAACTTTGTATCAATGTTGACAATGCGCAGGGACACCGTGCGTCTTTGAACCGATAACCATCTTTTAGCTAACCTAAGCTCCTCCGCCCCTCGGTGAACTAATAGTTGATGTTGTGGGATTTGCATGAGGCATCTTGGTCTTATGGTGAGAATGCAATCTCATTCACAAAACTAACGACGTGGGAACAAATGATTCATATCCATTGTTATTGATGGGGTACTCTGGTCCTAGTTCCTACGTTGTATGGGATCCCACATGTGCTTCCAATGAACGATCTGTGGACTGAACTACGTCGCGTCTCACGCGCATTTTATTTTCATTGGAGCCTATATATAGGGTGGGTGGAACTAATTACGTTGAAGCCCGCACTAGACCTTTCCATCGTTGTGTGGATTAATGTGAACTTTTTGGAGGTGGGGTTCTTTGGCCCTCGCTTCACATGGCATCAAGGAAACCTGTCGCATTAGTTAGAGCGTGCTCTTTATAATCGTTAATGGATTATCAAGTATCTAAAAACCAGTAATCGCCACCTTCACCAGTTGGGATCCGTTCACAAGCTGATTTTGATATGTGCAGCTCCCAAACCAGTACTTCATGGAGCTCTCCCATACCGCTTTTTGGCCACCTAGCTGAGCCATCAACAAGTATTGTTGTCTGATCCATGGAACAAGACTAACACCTTACCCAAGAAATGCAACAGGTCACTAATGATCTCTTTGTATGCAACAGAGAAACTTTTGGCAACATCTTGGCGCATAAGAATAAGTTGGTATGTCGGCTGGACCAGCTGGAACAAAGGAATGAATGTGCTATAACGCCAATGTCATTGGAGGAAGAGAAGTACACCCGTGAAGAGCTTGATTCGACCTTAAGTTGATGATGTGCTACGCATAATCGATTCACATAGTAATCCTTCATGCATAAATGTTGATTAGTGTGTTGGGTGATGCTAAGAATGGTCTCCCATATAACATAGAGTAGCCTATATCTCTATCCATGTCGAGTACTACGAAGTCAAGAGGGAAGACAAATGGTTCAATTTTGACTTTGATATCCTTCAGCATTACTCTAGGATGACAAATGGTGCTATAGGCTGCTTTAAGGATGTGAGCTTGAGTGCTTTGAAGACATAGTATGAATGTAATAGAAACACGATTTTCGTGATCTGTCATATTTATAATTAATAGTAATTATAAGAATTTTATTAGATATGATAGTAGTCATTGAGTCATATTAGGTTAGTCTATTAGGGTTTTTCAGTCGTTAGCTATAAATATGTATTTTGAGTCTCTTGTTCGGGTAAGGAGAAATCACTTAAAGAATTATCTCCCCAAACCCTAAGCTCTCCCTATCTTCTAATTTTCCTTCTTGCCTAGTCCAAGGCTTCGGCCGATTCTTTATTATGTTCTTCCTCTCCTAAATCTCAATCTCAATACCTAATTCTGTACGTATAAACCATAATCCCCAAATATCAAATCCA